GTTTGCAAAAACTGGCTGCCCTTTGGTGTTCAGTTCAGCACAACCAGAAACAGAAGAGAGACGTGCAGTGCTTTCGTGTGGAGAGACTTTTTCTTCTTTCTCTGTTGCCATACACCATTCAGATTGAAAGCATGTGTTCGCTATTTGTGCACAAGGAAATGCTTCTTAGTCACTTCCAAGTTTTTGTTTTGGATAAGGATACAACAGTCCACTACAGACTTCATCTTTTTAAATCTAGCAGTTTCTTAAAAAAAAAAAAAGTCACAGTATGCGCTTTTCAGTTCCTGTGAAACTACGGAAGAGATCTCAGTAAGGTTCTGTCAAGTTCTCTTGGCACGTGAATGTCCCTTTAACTTTCAGCAACCACCAGCTCTCAAATGGAGATAGTTGGGCTTCAATCTTCTATACTATGCGTCAAAGATTCCAAATTTAGGAGACAAGGAGAAAATGCAAGAAAGTTGCATACAATCAGTCTTTTAGCTTAAATGTAGTCTGTAGCATGGGTTCTCAGACTCTGGTACTGGTGACCCCTTTCACACAGCAAGCGTCTGAGTGCGACCCTCCCCCCCTTATAAATTAAAAACACTTTTTAAAATGAATTTAACACCCTATAAATGCTGGAGGCAAAGCGGGGTTTGGGGTGGAGGATGACCTCTTGTGATCCCCCCCCATGTAATAACCTCATGACCCCCTGAGGGGTCCCAACCCCCAGTTTGAGAACCCCTGGTCTATAGTGTCAGTTTTGGAATTCACTCATCTGATACTAGTAAATGAAACTACAGCCAGTCTGTGCTGGGGAAAGTGAGCTGGCGGTCTAAAGTGGAGGGTTTTCCTCCAATTGGGATCATTGGAATCCTCCATAAGGGAGTCACGAAGTTTAGTGAGAGGCTGAGTGTGCTATTACACTTCTCAGAAAGGGCAGGCCTCTGACTGAGAACAGCACTAGCATGCCTGAGCTGCACTAGCGTGTCTGCTTCCTTTTTGTAGTTGTCAGACTGGGAGACGAGCACAAGCTCTTTGAGAGTTGTGATTGCCTTCTGGGGTATGCATAACAGGCCAAATTTAAATGGAACCCCACTCTGTGAGATAGAAAGCTTTGGTCTCCAGGCTGCTGAGAACCATCCTGGTCTCCTGCACTTAATGCAGACATCTTCTATTCCAGCATTTTGAAGGAAAGTGTTTCAGGCACCTGTGTGTGACCACTTCCTGTCCACAGAGAGTTCTAGGCTTCTCTCTCTGCCTGGAATTCGACCATGCTTCTGAGGCAGTGATTCTCAAATTTATTTTGATCGTGTAGTAGTTTACACCCCCCATCCTCCTGCCATACAAGTACATATAACGATAAAAAAAAAAATCAACATGCAACTCTCATTAAATATTAAAAACAGGAAGGCACTGATCCAAACAGAGCCAACAGTCTGTTGTAATAAGAGCAAAAGCAAAATGGCAATTGTGGTCAATGCTTACAACTAAATCCCTGTTGTAACAAAGGGATTAACGTACAGTGCAAGTTTAACAAATTCATCACAATGCACAGCAGCATCTGAGGACTTGATATGTCTGGAGAAAAGAGCTTTGCTAGTTATTCATTGCTGTGGGTAAAATGTGCACAGTAAGTCCTCCCCCAAAGCTTCTCATGCCCCCCAGAATACATTCCATGCCCCCCCCGGGGGGCCTATCCCCAAGTTTGAGAACATCTGTTCTAGGGGTTCAAGTGCTCTTATGCACAACTCAAGAATATTCCAAGGTTCCTCACTGGAGAGGTTCTGTCGTGTGGTGGGTTGATCTCAGGGCTGGAAGTCAGCAAATCCCAGTTCTGCCACTGACTTATTATATGGTTTAGGGCAAGATCTTTAGCCATGAACCTTGGGCTCAAACCCCACTTTTAGCTGGGGAAAACGATGTTGCAAGTTTTTGTGAGGATTCATTTTTCTGGTGGTCTTGCAAGTGTAAGCAGTGTACTTTTGCAATGTATTAACCACTTCCTTTTGTCAGACTGCCGTTTATTCCCTCTTCTGAAATTTCCATTTAAGCAATGCTGAGGAAGGGTCAGAACCATAGAGCACATACGGTTGAAACATTTAACATTTTCAAATACCTTTCCCTCCTCACTGCTAATCCCTATGGGTGCAAGTAGCATAAATGGCATCATGCTTCTCCAGGGAAGCTGCTGCTAGCTTTCAGATTGTACTGGTTCAGGCTGCTCATCCACCTAGTCCAGTACCTTGTCTCTGAGTGGGGGCTGTAGCACATCCTTCGCAGGAAGTAACCCCAAGATGGGCAATTCTAGAATAACCTGTTCATAAGGGAAGTTTCTCATTATTACTACCTAGGCCTTATATAGCGCTTTTCATTAGTAGATCTAAGAGAGCTTCACAAAGATCAGTATCATTATCTGAAACTAAGGAACAAAGTTTCAGAGTAGTAGCCGTGTTAGTCTGTGTCAGCAAAAAGAATGAGAAGTACTTGTGGCACCTTGGAGACTAACAAATTTATTTGGACATAAGTTTCGTGGGCTAAAGCCCACTTCATCAGATGCATGCAGTGGAAAGATAGAAGGGGAGGGCTTCTGAACACCAATAGCAGTCACCTTCAGCCCCCAACTAAAACCTCTCCAGCGCATCATCAAGGATCTACAATCTATCCTGAAGGACGATCCCTCACTCTCACAGATCTTGGGAGACAGGCCAGTCCTTGATTACAGACAGCCCCCCAGCCTGAAGCAAATACTCACCAGCAACCACACAACAAAAACACTAACCCAGGAACCTATCCTTGCAACAAAGACTATTGCCAACTCTGTCCACATATCTATTCAAGGGACACCATCATAGGACTGAATCACATCAGCCACACCGTCAGAGGCTTGTAAACCTGCACATCTACCAATGTGATATATGCCATCATGTGCCAGCAATGCCCCTCTGCCATGTACATTGGCCAAACTGGACTGTCTCTACGCAAAAAAAAAAAATGGACACAAATCAGACATCAAGAATTATAACATTCAAAAATCAGTTGGAGAACACTTTAACCTCCCTGGTCACTCAATCACAGACCTTAAAGTGGCAATTCTTCAACAAAAAAACTTCAGAAACAGACTCCAATGAGAAATTGCAGAACTGGAATTAATTTGCAAACTGGACACCATTAAATTGGGCTTGAATAAAGACTGGGAGTGGATGGGTTATTGCATATTTCCCCATGCTAATTTTCCCCCTACTGTTACTCACATCTTCTTGTCAACTGTTTGAAATGGGCCATCCTGATTGTCATTACAAAAGTTTTTTTTCTCTTGCTGATAATAGCCCACCTTAATTGATTGATTGGTCTCATTAGAGTTGGTATGGCAACACCCATTTTTTCATGTTCTGTGTATGGGTGTGTGTATATCTATCTATCTTCCAACTGTGTTTTCCACTGCAAGTATCTGATGAAGTGGACTTTAGCCCATGAAAGCTTATGCCCAGATAAATTTGTTAGTCTCTAAGGTGCCACAAGTACTCCTCGTTCTTTTTTTTTTTTTTTTTTTAAGGAACAAAGGTGAAGTGACTTGATCAAGGTCATCCAAGAGGCCAGTGGCAGAATAGAACCTGTTTCCTGAGCCCCAGTCCTATGCTCTATCCACTGGCTGTACTGCCTTCGTTTAACCTAGGCAGTTGGTGGTTGCTTACATACGAAAGCACTGAGAGTTTTACATCATGATTTTCCTTATCCTAGTTAATATAACTGTGGATGTTCTTGTTCATATGCATATGTAATCTTTCTCTGAAAGCCTACTATGCCAACCCATTTTGGGGCAGGTCTGGGTTATTTCACTTAGCTCTTCCACTTGTACTTCCTGTGACCTAAACAGACATTACCTTTTTCCTCAACTTGCCACAAGGTGCTTTCATTGAAGTAGGCAGCAATAGTTTATATGTAAACTGTAATACAACTCTTCTGTATGTATTGTTCATAGCTGTTTTTGAAGTAAGAACGATGTTATGATCCTTAAACTATAACTACAGAAACAACTTACCATTCTGTTTAGAGAAACATTGCACACTAATGCAGTCATGAAGTGTTTGTATTTGGCAAAGTAATGCCAATCTTAAAAACAGTTCCAAGATATTAAAATTGAGATTATTTTTGTGGTTCGTCTGTCTCCACCTACTGGAAGTTGATAGCAAATACTGCAGATCCAGACTAGTGAGTTTAATTAACTGGAAAGAAAATGACAAGTGTGCTAAATGGAAGTCTTGACCTTAATTGGCGGAAGTCCTCAGGGTGTTGTTTAATATTCCCAAAAATACTGATTCTAGAGTTAGAAGCTGCCAGACTAAACTGGTGAACAAGTTAAAAATAAACTCTTTAGCCATAGCAGGGACAGGATATAACATTGCACAGCACTGCAAAGAGATTGCTGTGATGCTTAGTTGAAATCTGATTTACCAGCATGATGTGCTCAAAAAAGTCTAAAATAGTCTATAAGACAACCTGGGTAAGCTTCACAAATAGTTTCAGGATGCAAAAATTACAGCTGGAAATTGGTGAGAAGACAGAGCTGTCAGACATGAATAGCCTGCTCAAGGTTGTATTTTCAGGAAGCGAGCTATAGTTCATAACATCAGAGACTTGGGAAAACATTGGGCTTCTCTCAATCCCTTCAAAATCTGAAGCAGGTCAATATTAGTGAAAAGCAGTCATTAAAAGAACTTTGCAGATTCAGTCACTTCATTTTCCCCTCTGCTATTCTCCATAGTTTATTATTCCATACTTGCCCTGGCTTTTGTTTGGTCATTAACGCTGTAGACTAAACATATGGCTCTCAGTTGGTTAGAGATGATCTTCCACACAGTGGGTTTGGAGGCAGTAGACAGGTTTCTGAGCTGTGAACTTAAAAATTAGGTGTAGTCACTTCTTCACTGTTGTCACTTGGATGTTTCCCAGAATAGCCTGTGACTGGGAATTTAGAAGACCTACAACATTCTTCTTGATTCTACTTGGCCTGTTTTCAGGTTGCAGCTGCTCCCTGGTGGATGCCTGTTAAAGGAGCTAATTGGAGGCAACCTGAGGGACCAGATTCTAATATCTCAAAGAGGTGAGCCAGACATGACCTTTCAGTTTTAACTGTGGTATTTACTTTGTGTCTGTACAAATTCAACGCGGATGGTGGGAGGCATGGTTTGAGACGGGCTTCTTGCTGTGCTCTTTCTATTGCTTCTCAGTGTATAGACAGTATTTTTTTCCTGTTGCATATAATATTGTAATTGGGACTGCTTGAGCATTTGCTCTAGTTAAAGCATTAGCACTTGAAAGAACTAATAACCTCTGTCACGGTTAGATAAAATACACTAGCTGGGCACGTTGTATTGATTTGAAGCTTGATTGGACTTTAGGTGTCCAATCAAGGTGTCTGGGACCTGCCAACCTGAGAGAGCACTGTGGCTGAGATCAGCAGAGGATGCTCTGGATTAATTTATGTCTTCCCAACCCTGCTGCACCCCTTTCATTATAAAAGAGTTGCATGTAAGGTATCCTCTGAGTGTGCTCCATGGTTCAGAAATTCAGAGGCCATCTGTCTTATAGAGAACGGCTCAGGATGTTGGGGGTGGGGGAGGAATACAATTTTCAAAACTGCCTAAGCAATTTAGGACCCTAATTCTCACTGAAAGTCAATGGGACTTAAATGACTTAGGAGGGTAGGCCCTTCTATATGTTTTATCCATGGGTTTGTTGCAGTGAGGGAAATGAGGGCACATTCTTCAGTGATGATTTTTGTGTAATGCTGCAGAGTGATACACTTATGTAGTTGTAAATCTTGTTGTTAAGGAGCTTATGTTTGGTGTCCTTATGTATTGTTAAAGAAATGATGATGAAACAGATGATGATAATCAATAACTTCATATTAAGAGCATGTTAAGTTTCAGTCTCTCACTGATGTATTTAGGGTTATTTAAAAAAAAAAGCAGATTTTTTTTTTTAGCCTATGTCTGGTAGAAGCTGATGTATTGAATCCCTTAAGGATGGGGCCACATATCTTTAACATCAGTTGATGGCTGGTGCACATCATCTGCTCTCGAAGGGAGAATAAAGAGAAATTATCTGAAGCAAAAATAGAGGCAGTGGTATCAAGAGACAAGAAAAAAATAATGAAGAGAGATTTAGGTCATAGCAGTTAACGGCTTTGGAAATGTGCTCTCTGAGCCTTACATTTTGTATGAGTTGGTTGTGAGCCTGGCCTAGTATAATGATCTTTATCTAACCCTTTCTTCAAACTTCCCATCACACAGAAATAGTCTAAAAGGTAGAGAAAGAAACAAAGAATGAATATTAGTGGGAGACTGGGAGACGTGAACTAGTGAAAGTGGGAAAAGTGAAAGACCAATAGCTAATACAGTGAGTCGGAAGCCTTGAGCATTCAACTCTTGTACCAGAAGCCCCTACTAGCAGGGTGGTAGCTCACTCTGCTAGAGTGTTTTGGCAGAAGAGGAGGGGCGGGGCAGGGGTATTGTGGCCAGGATAAATGAGACCTTCCGTCTCAGAGGGCTGAAACAGTCCCTTTTGGGTAGGAGGGGCTGGGAATGTGTGAGCAAGAGGGTATGGGGATTAAAACAGGGAAAACATGGAAGTCATTTGTAAAAGTTTGCAGTAAAAATTCCTGCTTCCGTTCCCAAATTACTGCAGCTCCAAAATGAGGCTAAGTGAGGTGTTGGCCAGTATTCCCTCCTGCCATTACTCCCCCCCCCGCCCCCCCCCCCACCAAAAGTAAATTTCTTTAACAGATTTGAGGAGGGGAGGGAAAGAAAATAGAGAATTAAAATTAATAGCAAAACTGATATAAAAATAACCTAACTCTACAAACCTAAACTGTGCCCCATCCAGAGGCTGCTCTTCCTCTGACTCTGTCTTCTAATGAGTTACAGCATACCCTTAAAACTATTGTGGAAATGTGGCCTAACGCTGCCGCCTCAAAGGGCTTTTGGCCTGATCCTGTGAGGTGCTGATAAGCTATGTTCTCACTGAAGCCAGTGGGGGTAGTTAGTAGCTACTAGTTCTACAGACCCCACTCTAAATTGAGTCTGGGTGAGGACACAAATGGATATGACAGAGGAAATGCAAGAGTGAACTGGATCTGTGGGTAGAGTGCATAGCTGTGATGCATCATGTTATGTACAAATTCCTTCTCCTTCCCCCAGTTCCTTATTCTGACTCTTGCTGCTCTTGATTAATGCCTTGCTCTGGTATTTACTTCAGTAATTTCTTTGCTGTAAAACTAACCTCTGCACCCTGTTCAGACATAACTGAAGTCTTGCATGAAGGATAGAAACATTCCATGTACAGTCTTAAATCATGACCACCTGGTCTGAGGGGGGTTTCATAAGGTGCTTGCACTCTTGAGGCTGGTTGACCATGCTGATGTCCTCTTTCTGTGTCTTTTGTTGCTTATCAGAATGGATCACCCAGTTCTTCATGTCTCCTGGAATGATGCTGTAGCGTATTGCACGTGGGCGGGAAAACGATTACCCACAGAAGCTGAATGGGAGTACAGCTGTCGAGGAGGCCTCGAGAATAGGTACTTACCTGTCAAGATTCTTCCCTTGTGAATGTATAAGATTCTGATATCTCACCATGCAGAGAAAAGCACTGTTTATTTTCCTTAACATTTTTCTTGCACAGGTACATGCATTTGCAGTAAATGTAACACTACTTTATTTTGTACAGCATCCTTTGTGTAAAGTGTATCCCAGAAAATGCTTCAGTCATCCATATAAGGTTGGAATTAAATAATAACTAAGAGACAAAGTGCAACAAGACTGAGATTGAGATGTAGGTGACGGGAGGTGTGGTGTAGAAGGCTCTTGCTGCCCCTCCCAAAATTGGTCAAAGAGTCAGAGAAAGCCAGTTTGAGATGAACAAAAGGACTGGGCTGGGGAGTAGAGAAAATGAGAGCTCAAGTAGTCATAATTCCTTTCATTGCACAGACACTACTGGGTTCATATGTCAGTCATTTTGTATATCCTAAACCTAAAACATTATCTCATAGAACAGCAGATCGTGCTGCGGAGCTTCAGTTGCAATATGAGAACCATCATCCCTTTTAAGGCTTATTAAACATTGTGGGTTTATACAGATGGAGTTGGAACACGGATTGTATATATTCTATATGTCCGGCTTCTCAGATGTAAACTATGTAAAGAATATTTACTTGGTAATTTTTCTTATTGTATCTCCAATTAAAAAAAACAACTGACAAAGATGGGAGTTGGGTTTAATTTTCTAGGATCAACTCTACTTAAAATAGTTTAACTTTTTTTATAGCAGTAGTGCTACCTAGTCAGATGACCATATAAGTCCAAAACATTGACCAAGCACTTGCATTCCTCAGAGTATTTTTGTGTACCTGACATGAACTAGATCGGCAGTTTTTTATTGATGAATCTATTCAAAATAGCTCTTTGAGACTGGTAGCAGTCCTCTCCCTTCCACTTTTTCCCTCCTGTTGCCTCTAACTCTAAAGGTTAGCCATATTTCTGATAGCTTGTGTCTTGTGTTTCTTCCAACAGACTTTTCCCATGGGGCAATAAGCTTCAGCCAAAAGGTCAGTACTATGCCAATACCTGGCAGGGAGAGTTCCCCATAAACAATACTGGAGAGGATGGATACAAAGGCACTGCGCCAGTAAGTGTGTCAGAGTACATTCAGCTAAACTAACCCTCTTCGAATTGAGGGGTACGCCCAGTGTGATGGGTAATGGGGTTTTTCAATAGGTGTCGGCCACTGGAAGGACACTTCTCGCAGCTTCAGCTTTTCAAGCTACAAGATGTTTAATTCCAGCCATGGGTGTTACAGGGGAAAAGGCTCTTTTTAAGGTTGCCATCTTGCAGAGTTCTCACCAATCTTAAAATGGAGAAAGGCACTATATATTTATTTCTACAAAGTGTGAAATGGAGGCTAAAAATAACTTTCATTTAACTTTTTAGATTCACTAAAGTTTGCTATGTTTCTGCTTTAATGCTTTCAGGATGATGAGTTTGGCATAGCTTGCCCTGTATAAACAAAATGGTTTTTGACCTAGTGGGGTCTTTGACGAGCATTCTGAGTAAATACTCAGTTTCATGACCTCTGGAATCGTGTTTTTTCAGTTTATTGGGAAAGATGTGAACTTCCATTTATAAAGGTTAGGAGTATCTCACCGCAAGAAAGCCATCAAGTTTTTAATGCTTACAAGGGAAATGCATGCTGTAGTCTTTTTAAATATGTAGACTTCTGTGAATGCTAGTTTATTTAAGAGAAGTGGTAACTAGAAGGGAAGTCAGCACAAGCAGAAGTTGAGAGACCTTCTCCATTCTCTTGGTGGGAAATCTGGCATTCACAAATGGGGATGTAAACTAGTCTTACAATGATCCACTGGAATCTAATTCCCATTAATGCAAAGTGCAGTTATGTTTGTATGTTGATTAGAAAATATCCCAGCATCTGCTCAGAGCTGCTAGTTGGAATTTATTGTCTTGTAATTAAATCACTGCCTCTAGCAATAGCAGGGTCAGCAAGAAGATAATTTATGGTTTAACAATCGTACCTGTAAGTGTTGGGGGAGGAAACCTTGAGAATATGTTGTCATTGTCCACAAAAATGATGATTTGTATTGTTGTTTAAAAAGAAAACAAAGGTTTTCAGAGTTCGGCCCTTTTGTAGTTACAATACTGAACCCTTGTCTCTGAGTATAAATCCTGATTAAAAGAGCTTTCTTGTTCCTGAGCCTCTGTATTTCTGCATATAACTCCCTAGTTTCCGATTCAAAGATCTGAGAGCAGGAACATCTAGTCAGTGGATTTTTTACCTTTTGGTCATCAGGAGTTAAATGCTATTTCATGCCAGAAGACTGTAATAAAATGATCTTTCAACATTATCTGCAATCCAGGTTACAGCATTTCCTCCAAATGGCTATGGCTTATACAACATAGTGGGAAATGCCTGGGAGTGGACATCTGACTGGTGGGCTGTTCATCATTCTGAAGGAGAAACTCACAACCCAGTGAGTATTTTTTAATATCAGATGTGCTGTGACATGCCTTTTTGCGACTCTGCTTTATCTCCAATCAAAGCCCCTAGCTCCCCACACCATGCCATGCATGGGTTTGGCCAGGTTCTGGTGAGTCAGGCTGTATTGCCTCTGCATGTTGTTACTTTCTACAGTGACATTGTAGCATTTTCTAATCTGTGTGACGACGACGTCAATTCTACAGATCCATCCGAGGTCTGGGAATTGAATCATTTTACCCTAGCATCAGTCTTATAAGCACTAAGACTTACTAGTGCTGCAGAATTACTAAAAACAATGACTGCCTGGTTACCCCAAGAGGGTGTAAGATGTAACAGAACTGCATAGAAAAATGTGTGTTCCAAGAAAATGGCACAACTCATTGCACTGGTGGTTGCAAATCATAGTTTACAACTTATGTTTGTAGATTGATATATTAAAACACTGTCTCATTTCATGGTTTAAGATGTATTGAGTCCTGGATGTACCGGTTGAGTCAAATATAAAATGTAGTTTTGGAAGGAGAAGTAGCTTCCACATAGTCAGGATACTAATTTGGAATGGATGAGTTATTCCTTTTCTTTGGTAGTCTTTTATAAGAATTAGCTTTGCCACCTTTTTGTGGGGGCCTCTCTGTCTGACTGCTTTTGTGCTGTGGATTCCTCTTCCAGTCTCTCTCAGCAGACTCAAGTTCCAACATTATACCTTGATTTCTCCTCTGATCAAGGGGAGCTAAACCTAGGAAGTGAACTGCAGTACTCTCCTCCTGACAAACGTTCAAAACTGCAATATATGGTAATTATTATGATCTCCCTTAGTTGCCGCTTGACATAGTCACAGCCCTTTCTCATAGCACAGTAACTGCTGGCAGCATGAGCAAGTCATAATTTCTGCTTCTCGGTAGATTGTACAGATCCTTGTGTCCTGCCGTTTTCAAGAAAAGAATGTTGCCAGCCAAGAGAAGTCAGACTCATTCCAGAGTATAGGGCTCACTGTTGCCTTCCATAGTATCCAGGAGGCAGCTTTTTTGGTTGCATATGCCAAACCCCCCTAACAAATAACAATCATGCTATTCAATACAGGTTGTTTGTCATTGGATAAAAGACAGAAGGTGGCCTAATCTTCTTCCTTGTGTTATGCATGTTTAACTTTTACTGAGGCATTTTTAAACCTTCAGTTTTTCTTGCTTGATATTAATTTGAGTACTCTTAAACTATTCTGGTATTGCTGTCACTGGGCTGGTGCCCTTTCTCTTCCCTTCACATCCCTGCTGTTTGTCCTCACAGAGACCTCTACAATTTCAGCACACTGAACTAGTGCATGGCTCGGCAGCAGTTCTGCAGAAAAGGACCTAGGAATTACAGTGGACAAGAAGCTGGATATGAGTCAACAGTGTGCCCTTGTTGCCGAGAAGGCCAATGGCATTTTGGGATGTATGAGTAGGGACAATGCCAGCAGATGGAGGGACGTGATCGTTCCCCTCTATTGGACATTGGTGAGGCCTCATCTGGAGTACTGTGTCCAGTTTTGGGCCCCACACTACAAGAAGTATGTGGAAAAATTGGAAAGAGTCCAGCAGAGGGCAACAAAAATGATTAGGGGACTGGAACACATGACTTATGAGGAGAGGCTGAGGGAACTGGGGATGTTTAGTCTACGGAAGAGAAGAATGAGGGGGGATTTGATAGCTACTTTCAACTACCTGAAAGGTGGTGCCAAAGAGGATGGCTCTAGACTGTTTTCAGTGGTAGCAGATGACAGAACAAGGAGTAATGGTCTCAAGTTGCAGTGGGGGAGATTTAGGTTGATATTAGGAAAAAACGTTTTCACTAGGAGGGTGGTGAAACACTGGAATGCGTTACCTAGGGAGGTGGTGGAATCTCCTTCCTTAAAAGTTTTTAAGGTCAGGCTTGACAAAACCCTGGCTGGGATGATTTAATTGGGGATCGGTCCTGCTTTGAGCAGGGGGTTGGACTAGATGACCTCCTGAGGTCCCTTCCAACCCTGATATTCTATGATTCTATGCTTAGAGTATAAATGAGAACTAGGTTACTTCTTAGTAACCAGAGACTTCAGAGGACAGTTCTTCAACAGATCAACCATACAGAGTCTGTGTGTGGTGCTGCATGAACCTTGGATCTGCCGGAAGGAGTTGCAAGTGCATTTTTAATTCTGACTCATGGTTGCATATACAGTCAAATGTTGTGTGTATTCATTTAAATATTTCTTGGCAATAAAATGAACTATTCTTCTTTCCCTTTTTTCCTCCTATGTAGAATTACAGGGTATCTTCCCTTCTCCCCTTGTCACTTTCAATGTCTGATTCCCTTCCGTCTCACTTCTTGTCTCATAACAATTAAGGTCCAGTCCTTTGACAGTGTATTAGAAGTGCTAGCTTTAAATCCAGGTTTGTCTCCGTTTATAAAAAGAAGGCTTTGGGGTGACATGCAGAGGATGAACTTGAGGAGTTTCAGATGAAGAAAGTTAAGACTAAAAAAAAAATTCTCCTGAAATATGAGAAATCTTGATGGGAATGGGTGGATGAAGCATGGACTGACTAGTAATTCCTGTCAGTTGGAAGGGGAACAACTGAAGGCCATGCACAGCTTTCCAACGTCTGTATCCGCACCGTGAACTGCGTTCAGTGGCCGAGAACAGTGCATGGACTCAGAGCAAGCAGATCTGTGAATTCTATTCTCAAGGGAGAGTAAGGATTTTTTTTTTCTCTCACTTTGAGAGACAAACAACATCTGTGTGTTTGGAAAGAGATGGGAATGAACACAGGACTAGCAGTTTGTGGCATAATGTGACTCTTCCCGTCCTTGTTCATCTGTTTAATTGAGTGGTGACTTTGATTTTTAGCCATTTGTATTCAGGGCTTTGGAGCTGTGCTCCAGCTCCAGGCAAAAACCTGCAGCTCCACTGCTCTAGAGCTGCTCCGCAGGCTGTACTCCAGAGCCCTGTTTATATTCCTTTCCATTGTGGATGAAATAATGTATTTGCAAGAATTTAGGTTATCAAGGAATTGGTAGGCTAAACTTGCTTAGTGGACAGTGATATCTCATAACAAGACAATACCAGTTATTGAGGACATTTCTTCCTTGCTATTACTGATCACCAAGGAAGTTAAAAGTGGCACTTGGATCAACCAGGCCACCTCTTTCCCTTCTGCAAAATAAAAGCACTATGTATGGGATCTATAGGAGAGCTGTATGATTTCTGTGTGGTACACTGTCAGTTTTTCTGTAGATAAGGGAAGAGCAGTAATACTTTGCACTTCTTTACTCCTTTTCTTTAAACATATTGCATGCTTTTCTAAAGCACTTACCCCCATTATATCAATGTCATTAAGCCTAATTTTTAGATGAGTAAACTGAGGCCCAGAGTGGTTAATGACACACAAGGTCACTGCAGTAGTACTGGGAATAAATCCCAGAAGTCTTGACTGCCGGTCTACATCTTACTGCTAGACCACATATACTGCCTTTGGCACTAGCTAGCTGCACACTGTATATTTTTAAAATTGTTTTCTGTTTTTATTTAAAAAAAAACAGAATTAAAAAAACAAATACAAGGCCCTTTCCATGTCTGCTCTGCCTTGCTGTTCCATTACTTGTGGGCCCAGCAATAGCTTGACTTTTGGGCATGCCCACCACTTCATAGTACTGCTCCTGTATGTAGGAGTCTCGTCTTCAGCCAGAACATGTGGTGATAGCACTGCAGCCATCTCTCCAATATGTGACTGATGGAACAGCTTGAGTCACTTTTTCCTCTGCTGCTTTCTTCCATATGCCATTAATCAAAACAAAATTGGGCCATGTTTTCAAAAAGCAAATGCAACCTCAGAATTTGAGAGTTCCTCACATACTTAAAAAACCCCATCACAGTTGCCCCCATGTAAATCAGCCAATTGATTATTGCATGCAATTGCCCATAAATGTGTACAGAAAAAACTACCTACAGGGTTATACAGACTTTACAACACACTTTCAGAAGCCTTTCTTAAAAATTATCCCAAAATGCAAATTGTTAACTCAATGTTGCAACTCTATATTTAGGGAGTTTTTAAGTACTTATTACTTATGCCATTGCCCTAGAATGGTCTGCTTTGAACATAAGACTGGATTATTGAGTTGATACTATAAATATATATTCAGGTTACTCTAACAAATATCTAGAGGACTACATATGAAACCCGGTCAACTTTCGGTAGCAAAGGTGCTAGAAAACTTGTTCAAATTGTAGCTTTTTTCAAAACTGTCAGTGCAGTTAAACTTAATTATATAGAAGCTTGTGTGAGAATTTCTAGAAGACAATAAAAAGTGTTGAACAGACATGCAAATTCTGACATCTTCTGGTGTCTGTATCTGTATATAGTGTTTGTATTTGCATATGGTGCAATTTTTTTTGTTTCAGGAGTGCCCAGCATTGGCCTAATTCTTACTCTGTTCCCATCTGAAGTCCTTGGTAAAACTTCTCCTGGGAGAACATGAAAAGCAATATCCAGAGCCACAAAAGGCTCAGGGGCCTAATATATTTTGAGTAGTAAAATGTGAAATAACTGTAACCATACTTTCCAAGCATCAAAAATAGAGGGCAAAACTCATTTCTAGATGCCTAAATGTCAACCCAGGTGTGCACAGTACAGCCCAGCTAGATATAAGGCGTGGCCTCACAAGTCTGAGACAAAAAGCCAGAAACAGACACCATCAAGCATCGCTATTTAAGTTCCCTTTCCTTTAAAAGATTCACTGGCCACTTTGGATGAACATGTTCTACTTTTTGGCTTTTTAAGCCATTTTTCTCCTGAGGGGAAGGTGTCAGTCAGCCTGGGTATATCTAGCAGTCCTGTAACCATATCCCACGCTGTCCTGTCAGCATGCCTCAGCCTGGAGCCACAGGGCTAGCAGTAGGGTTGAGCAATGAAATCAGTTTATATTCATTGCTTGTCTCTGCCAAAGAGGTGAACTAGTATCTGTGGTGGTGGCAGCTTT